CTAGATATAGGGTAGGCTGGTATATATATAAGAGTGTCACAACGTGACGAGATCAATAATGTGTGTGTAGGTAGTGAGTAATTGAACTGCAGTCAAACAGAGACGTATTGTTGAAGTTAACGTTCGTTAAAACGTTTGTAAAAGAGCGACTGTTGAAAATAAGTGTATCGGTAAAGTTATATTCAGAAAGAATAAACCAGTTTTATTAAGTAAGGACTTGTGTCGCTAAAGTTTCGTCGAAACGAAGTTACGGAAAGTTAATTAACAAACGGAGACGTAACAATTTGTTCAAATATTTTTGGAGAAATATACGAATGTTAGCGGCTAAAATGAGTTTGTTGCGATTACTTTAAATTTTAATTGGTTCTTTTGATGGGTGAGACCTTTGGCGGAGATAGCTTCCAGATACTGACCATTTTCTATATTTTTTGTTTTTGTTGATTTTTTGGAACACTTCAATAGTGTTTTAACTTACTGATTTAAAAATATGAGATTCCTGAAAAAATCTAAAAATGTGTGTCTCCACAATTTCTAGTTTATTTGAAAGTGTCGTATTGTAAAACTAAAGACCAAGCCTTTTCGCGAAATTTTTAAAATTGGTTTATTGGCACCTCATCGCTGATATAAAAGCAAACAGAAAGTCTATAACAATTTATTAGTTGTATAACATTTCGATACTCTTTAAAATGATATTATTTTAATTACGGGTTTCCACCAATTTGTTTAATATATTATGCTATGATCTATGTTAATTTATGATAATTAAACTTTTTCTGTAAAAAAAATATTTTTCTAAAGCGGCGCTAGGGCACTTTGTCTTGACCATCATCTTTCAGAGTTGGGTAGGAAATACCACTGTGCTACGTTATTTAGAAAGGCGAAGCAATATTTTCAGTTAGACTTCATTTGTTTTTTAACGTCAACATAAAATAAGCCGAAGTTAGAATAAGATTGACTATGCCAAAGTAAGGTGAAATATATCTCTTCGTATTTTTTATACTTTATGTATTTGCACTAACTTACTGACTAAGTTTATGCTTTAGCTTTGCTGTTTCAACTTTCATTAATTAATAATAAGAACTAATACTACTACTACTACTAAGTTAGTTAGCTAGTAGTCCTACTAGTATTACCACTATTTGGATCTTCTAAATTATTTTCCCCAACTACCGTCATCCAAACTGCATACAGATGTCCCTTTTTTTATATTGAACTCGGATATTTAAAATATTCATCAAATCTTCACTTAAACTACCTTAAATTTAAAACTTAATGTTGAGACTTCAAGCACACCTGAAAGTATAAGTAAACTATTTCACAAGTTATTTATCCCATATAAAAAGAAGTACTGTCTTGGATATTCAGCTGTCTTTAAACTACCTTAAAACTTAATGTTGACACTTTGAACATAACTAAAACTTAAAAGTAAACTATTTAATAGAAATGACTTGGATATTCAGATGTTTTGAGATGTTTGTATATTAGATACAAAATGACTTGAATCTTTTGGTTAGTTTGATAAATAACCTTTAATTATAGTAAGTTATTATAATTTGGACCACAAATTTAGTATATATTATATGAGAACACATTAAGTAGAATAAGTAAAAAAAAAAAGGATTTTGACATAGTGTTGGATAAATCATTAAAGCCTTAGAGGCAGTGTTATTTTATTGAAAGAAAAGCTAATAGAATTTTAAGGTGTATTTAAAGACATGTCTTGGTGTATTGGTTAATCAGTCTTTTAAGCCATCCAATTAGTGTATTATTTTTGAGGTAGGACAAATAGGATTTTGGGTTGTTTTTACAGAAATATTGAATAAAAGTCTTAAAGAAAAGTTTTCTTTCATTGTATAGGTAACTGGTTAGGTCACATTTGGAATATTGTGTTGAGCCTTGGGGGCCATTACCTTAAAAAAGACAATCCAAGTGAGGCACGCCTAGTGATTTTTATATAGAAATATTAATCATTCAACAAACTCAATCCACTTAACCAGATTATCAGGAACAATTGTCCTTATAAATATCTTGTGTAACACCTTGTCAAAAGCTCTCTGAAATTTGAAGTACTCCAAATTTACTGTAATCCCCTTGGATGGATTAAATGTGACAAATCACTGTTGATTATCTGTAATATCAGACTTGTCTAAGTGCTCTTGTTTAATTTCTGTAATTATAGACTAGTAATTTCCAAACCACTGACATAAAACAGATCTATGATTACTTAAAGGTTTTGTAGTTCCCTCCTTAAAAATTGATGTGATGTTGACTAATCTCCAATCTTCTGGCACCTTGCCACTTTAAGTGGATTCATTAAAATTCAAGACTTAAAGACCATGAATTTGCTCTTTCTTCTCTTCTCTTTTCCAGGGATAAATATTACCTCAAAAAGAGTGTTGCTTTATAATATATAGTAGTTAACTATTCTTCAAAAGCCTGTATTGATTGTGTTATAATTTGTCATGAAACTGTTTATTTTCAACTTCAAAAATAAATTGAATAATATTCACTAATTTAAATATAGGTATGCTGTACTAGTAATAATTTGTACATGTTTGTGTTTTTATCTCTATTCAGATACTACTGTGATTACTGTGACACTTTTTTGACTCATGACTCGGTGAGTATCATCAAGTTTGAATGTTTATATGGTGACTGATTCATTAGATACAGGGTTTCTCTGTATGTAAACTCTCAAAAAAGACAAAAGTGTAGAAATATTATATTACTTTTTTATTTTGTTTAATGGATGTAAGTAATCTTACTGATTGTTTTTTTAATTGCTTTGTGAAGATTAACATGCATTTGTGAAAATATATATCCTTTTCTAAGTGTCGTGTCCAATTTTGTACTCCGTGATTTAATATGCTTTTGTCACATTCAGTTTTCTTTTTTAAAGAAATTACTTGTATAACATTGTCAATCTTTTCATTTTGTTGATGTGTAAGTGCATTAGATGGATATTTTTGATCTAAACCGTTATTTAACAAAAGTTGATGTGGGTGGGTATCTATCCTCTTATAACTGGCAAACTACAGAACTACTTGACACCAAACCTGGAGTGTATCCTTGGGGCCTCCAGGAAGTGAGCAGGAGGATTGATATTCATATCTGCCTTCTATCTCACCCACCAGGAGCATCTATTTCTTTCCCTTACATTATGTCTACTTAGTTGAATGAGTTGTCACCAAAGAGCCCCAGAGGAGTGAAATGGTGGTGGGGGGGAGTTGGAATTTAGATTTTATTTTCCTTTGTCACCCATAGTAGTATCAATTCATTCTCCACTCACAGAACAGCTATATTAGCTAGTTTTAACTTCTTACTTACCGTGGCCATTTTATGTTATCGTAAGAGCAAAATCACATTTGTGAATTGAAAAAATTGAAACTTATCGTTTATTGGATTTCAGATTTTATTTTTGTAAACAGTAGCATAACATTCAATTATTTGTACAAAAATGTATTTAATGAAGTTTAAAAATAAATTTAATAAAAATCCCAAAATATGTTTGAGACTATAAATAAGCACCCTCTAAGAAAAAGTTTTTCAACATTTTTTACAATTTTTTTTTTCTTGCACTTTAGTGCTGGTCCTGCCATCTATGATTGGTATCTAAACCTTACTCTAGTGTGTTTTCTTCATAAAACAGCATCTGGGTGTTTTAAACCTCACTTGTAAAGCTTTTAGCTAATCCAAGTCGAAGGTGTCAATTTCAGTACCATGTTATTCCAATCGCTGTATTTCACGTCTTACAAATCATAGGATGATAAGCAAAGCACGTGATGAAACTTTGTTATCTGTATTTTACAATATGAACATGTATGGTGCTCATTAAAGTAACTGCCATTTTATGTAGAGGTTGCATTTAGTATTGGTCAATAGTACTTTTTTTATAAGCCTTAGAAAACTATCAAAGATTACTTAGAAAACTTGCCTCTGGAAAAACTGCATGGGAGATATGTGAATGTTATTATATTTCTATAGTAACTTAAATCATGCTGTATCATATATCTATTTAATCTAATCATTATATTGAAAAATTAACTCAAAATAGATGTATTTTTAGGAAAGAAGTTGATCCACAAATGTTAGGGTTTGATCTATTGAGTGGCAAGTGCATGGTCTTTATGTGAATTAGGCTTAGCACTTTGAACTGAAAGTTTGTGATTTTTTTGCATTTAAATTAGTAGGTTTAAGTTTAATAATTTAGCATAATTTTATATTTAGTTCATAATAAAAATATGATTCAGTATTTAGAATAACCTTGTGTGATTTGTACATACTACTACTAGTACCAGTACCACATAAGAATTTTGTATTTTTCCTTCTTACTATTTTTACTTTGTAGTAAGACCCATACTTCTGTTGTTGTTGATTTAGAATTAAAACAGTAACTGGTATATAAAGTTTATTCTGATATTTTG